CACACATATATACATAATTATACACACACAATATATATATATATATATATATATATATATATATATATATATATAAGATTAAAATGGCAAATATAATATATATTATAAAATATAAATAAAGAAAAATATGCAATATAACGAAAAAGATACATCTTGCAATTCTGAAGTTGGAACTTAAACTCGTAATAACTCTAACTAAAACTCACTAAAAAGATACAAATGGCAAGGCATGCTATGGACCCTGTAAACTATAAAGCACCATAACATCGTTTAATTGTACCACTTGACTTGGAATTATTGAATAGGAACCAGCATGGTGTTCAAACACATAAAAATAAATTCATTTCAGGACTTTTTACACAAGGTAGAAATCCTGGAGAAGCACACCTTGTGGCAGCGCGTTTATTCTTTCGCTTCTCTTCAGCTTTTATATCTTTTGTATTTTGCCGAAATGAATAAAATAAATAAAAATGAAATCTCAAAGAAAATAATGCATTTTGCCATTTACCCTTCAATGAGACAGTCTCGGCTGACGCGATTCTATGTAGAACAGCGCCGTTTATCGCTCACTGACAGCGGATTTAGATTCGTCGCATGACCGGCACAGGCAGTATTATCCAAGCGACAATTTTGTGAATTTCATATCTTTTGTGTTGTTAAGCTTTGTTTACCGAGTATTGTAAATAATTTTTTGATAAGATTGAATCTTAAGCCATGAGATATTATAAAATTTTACTAGTTATAGCATATTTATATTCTTTAGAAGTCTGCGAGTCTTTGAAATGGGGGAGGACTGATGGTGGGGAGCGAGGTGAAGTGGGGATCGATGATAATCTAGGTGAGGAGTGAGCTTGCAAAATAAGTTAATTTAATGTGATTTTTAATTACTTGAGCGTGATTTTATTTTTGCTACACTAATTGGTTAGTCATACAGTATATAGGCCTACCGTGTCAGGAACTGTAAAAATCACACTTCAACAAATACTAGCTTGTATTTGATGTATTTAGTAGGCCTAGCTTATGTAAGCCCTACATACGATGTGCGATTACGATGGAGTAGTGCTTATCGTAAGAGCGTGATATTCATTTTTGACAATTTGGACCTTGTACTTGAATGTATTATTACTGAGGTTAAGCCTAGGCATTGCACCTCTTTTATACAGTTTCACATATAATATACTCTGAAGCCTATGTTTAATGGGCTCAAAAACACCTGATTGCTGACTCTAGTATTATCCACCCAAGCCTGACTTCCCTAACAATAAAAATTAGAAGCCTTATTTAGAGTAAATTTTTGAGAAATTTGACCTGTCACGCCGGTAGTTACGAACATAAAAAAAAACATGAAACCCAATTGAGTTCTTAGTTTTTCTTTGGCTTTTCTGAATCACAAATGTAACCGTTAAGATTTCATTAGGTCTACATTACTTACCGTTCACCGTCCAAGTATACGTGGCTATGTTTCGATACACAATATCATGCAGGTTCGACCATGGATAAAAAAAGACTGAGTGAATTGTTTGTCATAAATAGGCCCTAAGCCGTAGCTGAATGCTTTCGTTCCACCAACATCGTTCGCAATCCATCGAGATTAAGTAAATAAGTAAATATTTACTTAGGTACCGTACGTTCCAACCTATCAATATATCCCTTACACATTTACATATTCATATGCATTTTAACGTTTAATAGTAGGAGAAAACAGTGCCGATATACGCCTCAAGGAAAACCCTACAAAGAACTAGAGTATATGGTCAATTCAGACGGAAAATATGTGTACTGCAAGTACTGGAAGCCACCAATAGGCATGGATCTAAGGTATCAAAACTTATTTTAAAAGAAATTCAATGTTGTTTTCTCTAACTTTAAAATAGGTGTATATCAATTCACAAGGGTTGATGCTATAGGCACTGATATGTCAAATTAGTAGCTACTTGCAGACATTGTCTTTTTTGTACAACATCAAGCACATAACACATTAGTTAGGGTGAAAAACCCAGTTTTTTGGCCAAAGTGGCAACAAATTATTTACAAAGGTTTTCTGAGTAGAAACTATCTAAGAGGGTTTCAAGAGCCACCAAAAAAAAAAGTTGGAACAATTTTTCCCATGGGAAAAAGAGTTATGACCTTTTATATAAAGGTCAATCTATTTTTAGTAACAAACACTGAAACGGTAGGGGTAGTTGGTTCTATCCCACATATGACCCAAAAAACAATTGCAAGAAAACTTTTTTTGGATGTTTTCTGTATCATAAGGTCTAGAAAAGATGCATATGTTAATGTTAGCCAAAAATTGCACAAGCATCAAGTGATTTTTCCAAGATGGCCGCGGCCACCAAAATGGCGCCAAAAACTTTGAAATAGCCATAAATTAAGTACTTTTTGTCTCGGAGTTTTTTTTTTCATAACTGAAACCAATTCAAAATTCATCTGATAATGATTAAATAATAATTTTCAAAAATTGAATAATTCCAAAAAGTCATCAAAAATGGCTACTATATTCATTTTTCATATCCATAATTTATTAATTAGTAGTCCTATAGTGGTGATTGCAGTGTCTACATTTTCTGGGTCATAGCATTTATCAATATCATTTAAAATATGATTTAATAAGAGCTTAAGTGATATATAAATAAATATCAAATTTGGAATGGTCTCTATACAGTGGCATGTGGGTGGGTGGGGGGGGGGGGGGGGGGGGGGGGGGGTAGGGTAGGACACTTTCTAAAAAAGAACTTATGCCTCCTTCACATTGGAAGCAAAAAAGTCTCAAGTAATTTAACTCATTGAATATACAATTTATGATTAAATAATACTGTACTCTGCTGAGGCTATGGCCCACTGTTATAATGAGTATTTGTATAGCATTTCCTAAAACTTTGTACTTCCTAAGTGTCTCGTTGTCAGTTATCTACTCCACAGCAGAGACTGGACCAGATCATTGAGAAATATTAATGTTCTGGGCTCTTTTAAAAATGATAAGATTTCTACAGTTTATAGTCTTTAGATTTGGAAATACCACCCAATCCATGAGCAAATGTGTCGCACCCAGCTCCCATATGTAAGACTCCTATAATAGTGATAACAAAATCCCACTGAAGCCAATATCAAGTTTGATGGCACAAGGAATTGGTTTGATTAATACCTATTAAAGATTAAATCCTACTCATGTTAATACCTACCAGTGCAAATAATCTGCTGAATCTAAGATCAAAACATATAATTCCTACTCTAAATCCAAACCCTACCAAAGTTAAAATATTGACTGATATAAGAGTAAGTCCTGCTACTTAAAGCACCATCCTACCAAGTGTTTTCCTATTAGAACACATATAGATCCATTGAGGCGGTTTTTCTGTGGAAGGCGCTATATAAATATATGACCACTGACACTGACAGTAAAACAGAAATATATAAACATGTTTATATAAATCATGTAGAAAAGACAACATAGACAGCAGAATGTTCTGGTTTAGGAAATATTATTTCTCCCACATTTCTCTTCAAATAGATAAGAAGAGTTTGGGGTTACCTCGATGTTATGGTTTATTTCAGCCCATGTCGTTGTGGAATGATGTGAACATGTATCTACCAAGAAGCGCCTCTTTACGGCTGCTAGGTATTCACGGACCACGCCCATACGCAATTCAGCACAATGACGCTGCAAGTTATGGGTTATTCTCCTACCTTTACCTACCTACCTTTTTTTATTGAAAAGTAACAAAAAGGAAATCTGACAAAGAAAGAAAAAAAAATCAACTGAAACTCGAGCCCGTGATCTTCCACAAACATGGCGAAATGGCGAACGTCATCAGCACAACTTGACCACAATGGAATGGTGGTTTAAGCATCCAGAAGAATCTGTGGTTCTTCAGCAATGACATGTGCCTTGCTTATTATTACATATTTTCATTTTTAATTCAATATTTGTTTATATATTCCTTAAACTCGATTTACATTTTTTTTATTACATGGTATATTATGACCCAGAAAAAAAGAAATTTCCACTGCAAATCCCAAGTAAGTGCCACATGTTACTGAATAATAGCTATGCAAAATACAAAATTTAAGATTTAATGAGCCATAAAACACTTTGTTTAGAGAAAAAAGCAGGAACTTCAAAAGGAATGTACATAATCCACTGTTTTTTTTAAGGTATGGGCCAATTTGTTGCAATGATCTTTGACCTTTGATCGTTTCTGACATTATTAATGATATGTTTGCGTAATCCTTGATATAAAAAAAATTGTATTGGTACTGAACAATGACATTTTATACTTAAAAATGCATGTATTACGGGTTTAGGATAAGATATGGCTATCTATTCTACCCCCCACCACCTTGTTACTATATATAGAATTACCCTTTTTAGGTAAAAGGTCATAAAAAATTTTCCCATGGCCGAAATCTATCCAACTTTTTTTTGGTGGTATTGCAGGTCGATATCAACAGTTTCCAACAAAAATCACTTTGTAAATAATCTTTTGCCACTTTGGTACTCCGTCTGCCTAACAAATATATATAGTCTTAAAATATTAAAATATATGTATATATTGCGAATTATTTCGGTTATGAACCCCTGTCAAATTATATTATAAATTATATGTATACACTATTTTCATTTTTGAAGAAGATGCATCCACAATGGTTTCAAAATATGACTACTTTAACAATAATATACTCAATTACAAAACAATAGACTTTGGTATAGCGATCAGTATATATATTTATTTATTTTTTAAAAGTATTTTAAATCTAATTGTCATTAAAAATAATATATATTTATTTTATATATTCTTATGGTAATTTATTATATAGATTTTATGAGCACGTAATTATTTGTATTTTATTTTGTTGGATGGGGCTTAGACAGCCAGATCGAAAGTGTGAAGAATTAGCGGATTTGAATTCCCAACGAAGTCTCAATGGCCTAGCTGGTTATGGTATTTGCATAAAAAGCTGCAGAGTTAAATGAAATGCGTAATTAAATTGCATTTTGACTTACGTATAATATTTTCTACAACTACTTAGCCTATGAGGCATTGTATTTAACTTAAGTCGAAAAAATATCAGTTATCCAGGATATTAGCTTAGTCAGTTAATAAGGTAAGTATAAAATTTACTACAATTCCTTATAGAATTATTATCTATCTCTTTATAATTCTTATATTTTCTGTGTTTCAATATAAATTAAAAGTTGATTATCCATATTATTTATCCATATTATATATTTTGAATGTTTATATATCAGTCAACCTCTAAGTAAACCAAAGCTGAAAGAATGTCCTTTAAAACATTCTGGTTATATGAAAACTAATCACAAGATAAAATTTATATTAATCTAATAATGCGTGAAATCGTCTCTTTCATGGACTTCCTCGTTTACTGTCATTCGGCAAAAGTTCGATGGGCAGAGCCTTTGTCTTGTTTTTCTGTGGATTGAAAGGAAAGCACATACTTATGAATTACCTTATTTTTATTCATACAAATCTACGCATTTACCAATATTTTAGTTTAAAAACAAAACAAAACAAAACAACCGAATTTTGAAATGCGGTGCAACGAAAACTCAGAGCCCGGATAATAAGTACCGGTACCGGTACTAAGGATGGTGCTAAACAAAATTTGTATTTGATACTGAGTTATTTTTTCTATAGCAAAAAACAAGTAAAACTTTATATTTGATCGACTGTAAACTGTGTTTTCTTAAACGGATCTATATAATTTGGTATCATTTTAGTGGCAGATGCCTATGTAAACTAATATTTTTTTCATTTAAAAGATCTAGCGCACAGTGACGTATCTAGGGGGTGCGCGGAGGCGAACACGCCCCTTAAAAATACTCTTTCTTGGGACATTGCTAATTATGTATTAAATAGGCATTCTGTTGTTACAAAAATAATTATGTACCACATAATTATTACTGTCAAACTATTATGTGTACATAATTAAAATATATGCCTATTTAAAGACATAATTAGCAGTGTCCCAAGCGGCGCCCTGTACTGGGAGAATTCCTGGTTATACATGTGTAATCATCACTACTAATTACATTCCGAATCATTCAACTCCTACCAGGTACCCATTTATACTCCTGGGTGAAGAGAGGCAAATGCAGATAAAGTGTCTTGCCCAAGAACACAAGCAGTGTGACGAGCATCGGCTTCGAACCCCCGACAATTCGATTGCAAGTCCAACGCCTTACACGCTGCATATGTCACACGCTTCTACTCCTATATGATTAAGAGAGCTATTGGAACCGAACAAAGCTTGAAGACAGGCATCTTCAAAACCAATCAACTGTCATTGTATATGCCATTACATACAGTATTCTTTAAATTACCGTTTACTAATGATCTTTCACAATAATAACAAGTTTACCTCCAAACGATCTGGGTTTATGCTACAGTGTGTGCACATTGTGAGAATAGCTGCTAAGAGTTTTAACCCAACAAACAGACCGATGAATGAGTAGCGATATCGCTCAAGATCGTAGACAAGACATGCTCCTTCACGGCCACACAATTCCTGGCGAATCAAACACGTACTGGAAATTATAGCGCCAAAATAGATTGGGGCAGGTAAGAAACCTATAATAATAAATATAAAGTATTTTCAGTAAGTAGCCTTATGGTTATTTATTTTAATAATTTGTTAATATAGAGCGCACCCTCCAATTAGAGACCTCACAAATCAATCTTCAATCTTTTAACAGTAAGTTAACCC